TAATGTGGCGTTTGCCTCTGTCTGGGGTGTTGGAGATAATGGATTGGAGATGGAGATAATTAATCAGCCTGCACCGTTTGCCTTTGTTACTCCATGTTCATAAACATAATTGTAATTGGCATGTATTCTCATCAGAGATCGGTTAGAATGGAGTTGTCACTCAAACTCTATTGTCTTTAAGCTTATATTGGACCCATTGTTTTCTCTTCTGCCTGTTTGCATACACTCCATACTCACACGGTCTGTTGATTGAGATTCATTGTTAATTTTACATGCACAACAATGTTCTGCTGATGCTGGATTTTGCAGTTGTGTTTACATGTATATGATGCATTTGAGAGTGTATTTGCTCCTAATTAACCTATTTGGTTGAATTTGGTTTGTCGCATGGCTCCACACTTCTTTCTAATTAAATTTCCCTCTATCTATCTAACCCTGCCAGCTGGATTGAAGAGTGTTTGGTCATCTTTTGCTTAAGTGGGTTAATTTGATATTAGCATCATGTTTCATCCTCCTTTGGCCTTATTAGCTTCTTGACTCTTACCAGTCCCTTATTATCCTCTATTTTCCATTCTCTTTCTCACTGAAGAATAGAAAGCACAAACAACACCCATTTTGAGAAAACATCTCTGTGAATTTTGTTTACCTTTGAACTTTTGGTTATGTCTACAAGACAATGCTCTGCAATTTCAGTCTACGGGCCAGAAAAGAGAGCAGCTAAACACTGAGGCGACTGACAAAAAGATGAGTTATTAATCTGTTTGCCTTTAACGTCTCTACACATGATTTCCTGAAGGAGAACATAGAGCAGTACAGTTTTGACTTACAAATACTGGATTCAGCACTCAGTTTTGAGCATCAAAGTGCTTCTAATCAGGCAGGGTTTTAACATAGCCTACACTGATCCAAATTCTTTATTTATTTATTTATTGATAATTTAGTGTTTAAAATGGAATTAGCATCTAAATGTTACTTTTGCAATGTATGTTCTTTTTAGATGTTGCTCTGGTTGGGTCCTTCCACAGATCTGCAAATGTCCAAAGAACAGATGAGGAGGCATAATGATTTTCCTTACTGGAGGAATATTGTATCAAAATATCATTTTAATTAGGGATGCATCAAGCCCAATACTGCACTCCTGTACTCGTACTCGTATAGGCTACTCATTAAAATGCTCCGATACCAAAACCAATACCACACAGTGTGTGAACAGTTCTGTGTCCAGACAAAGAAACACCAACAACAGGAATATGTTGTTGGTTGTATATGTTGACATCCAGGTCTTGGAAGAGTTAGCCTAATAAAATAGGCTGGTAAAAAGATGTGAAACCCAGACAGTATGTGAGGTATCAAGCTAATCAACATGAAGTAAAAGCCTTAAGACTCTCAATTGTTGAGCATTTAATTATTTTTCATGTATTGCTTTAGGAAGATTTTATAATTTAACATTTGCATCAAGTTTGTTTTTGTCTGTGTTCATCCAGATCTGCATATTATTGGATTGGCAGAGATTAATTTGCTCATAAACATTGTTACTCATTTCATTTGCTCAGTTGCTCAATCTCAGGTCATTCCAAACATTTCTTTCTTCTGTGGAAGAAATATTATTAGAATAATATTCTTAGGTGTAATATTATTAGTGTTAGAGATATAATAATATTAGAAATATCTGAAGTTTTTTTTTCTCGTGCAGTGGAAGTCAATGGTAACCAAAACTTTACATTATTCCAAAACCAACCAACCAACATTATTCAAAAAAATATATTATTTTGTGTTCCACAGAAGAAAGTAAGTCACACAGGTTTGGAACGACGTGAAAATGAGTAATTGATGACAGAACTATGCCTTTATAGTAGTGCAAAATTTCAAAAGTGCTGTTAGCACTTGAAGATCTAACATAGCTGTTACTGTGTCAAATTGACCCTACATGACAAATCACAGCTCAAGAGTCATAGTTTGTGTTTGTGAGTGGGAAATATTATGTGTGAGAGACAACACCATATGTGGTTTGAAAGAGACATGGTGCCATTTGCCATGTTCAAATCACATCTGTAGAGGATGGCATGAATTTTCAGGTTGAAAAGTTGACTCTAAAGTTGCAGTAAATCAGTGTCTAAAATGGTTCAAGATGACCCACAACATCACAGTTTAGAGAACACTGAAAATTGCACTGAAAGATTATGAGTAACATTAAAAGTGGACCTCATGAGGGAACACAAATATAAATTGTGATTTGACCCATTTAAGTGGGGCTTAGTGATTACAGGAAATCTTCAAAAAGATTTACACCACCAGTACAATAAATAATCATGCTATAGCCCCCCAGAAAACATTAGTATTGCGATGTTATAATATTATAATTATAATAAAATAACTGTTTTTGAACTAAAATAGTTGTTTTCGCTGAATTTTGAATTAGTCTTCAGTGTTAAATGATCCTTCAGAAATCATTTTCATATGTTGATTTGCTGCTCAAGAATAATTTCTTAGCATTATCAATGTTAAAAACAGTTGTGCTGCTTAATATTTAAACCATGTGCCTTTTTTCAGGATTTTTTGATTAATAAAAACTGAAGTGTATTTTATTTTAATATAAGTTCATTTATATATGCATAATTTTAATAATTATAATTTGGCTATTTTCAAAGCTAGGTAATCTTTAAATATTTTAAATACTTTGCTGACACACTTGAGTTAAGTTAATGTGGCGTTTGCCTCTGTCTGGGGTGTTGGAGATAATGGATTGGAGATGGAGATAATTAATCAGCCTGCACCGTTTGCCTTTGTTACTCCATGTTCATAAACATAATTGTAATTGGCATGTATTCTCATCAGAGATCGGTTAGAATGGAGTTGTCACTCAAACTCTATTGTCTTTAAGCTTATATTGGACCCATTGTTTTCTCTTCTGCCTGTTTGCATACACTCCATACTCACACGGTCTGTTGATTGAGATTCATTGTTAATTTTACATGCACAACAATGTTCTGCTGATGCTGGATTTTGCAGTTGTGTTTACATGTATATGATGCATTTGAGAGTGTATTTGCTCCTAATTAACCTATTTGGTTGAATTTGGTTTGTCGCATGGCTCCACACTTCTTTCTAATTAAATTTCCCTCTATCTATCTAACCCTGCCAGCTGGATTGAAGAGTGTTTGGTCATCTTTTGCTTAAGTGGGTTAATTTGATATTAGCATCATGTTTCATCCTCCTTTGGCCTTATTAGCTTCTTGACTCTTACCAGTCCCTTATTATCCTCTATTTTCCATTCTCTTTCTCACTGAAGAATAGAAAGCACAAACAACACCCATTTTGAGAAAACATCTCTGTGAATTTTGTTTACCTTTGAACTTTTGGTTATGTCTACAAGACAATGCTCTGCAATTTCAGTCTACGGGCCAGAAAAGAGAGCAGCTAAACACTGAGGCGATTGACAAAAAGATGAGTTATTAATCTGTTTGCCTTTAACGTCTCTACACTTGATTTCCTGAAGGAGAACATAGAGCAGTACAGTTTTGACTTACAAATACTGGATTCAGCACTCAGTTTTGAGCATCAAAGTGCTTCTAATCAGGCAGGGTTTTAACATAGCCTACACTGATCCAAATTCTTAATTTATTTATTTATTGATAATTTAGTGTTTAAAATGGAATTAGCATCTAAATGTTACTTTTGCAATGTATGTTCTTTTTAGATGTTGCTCTGGTTGGGTCCTTCCACAGATCTGCAAAGGACCAAAGAACAGATGAGGATCTCACGGCATAATGATTTTCCTTACTGGAGGAATATTGTATCAAAATATCATTTTAATTAGGGATGCATCAAGCCCAATACTGCACTCCTGTACTCGTACTCGTATAGGCTACTCATTAAAATGCTCCGATACCAAAACCAATACCACACAGTGTGTGAACAGTTCTGTGTCCAGACAAAGAAACACCAACAACAGAGAATAGAATGGAGTTGTTAGAGATTAAGGATATCTATGAAGTACATGTGTGTAATTAATATAATGTTAAACATTCAATATTCACACCTGTATAGCTGATGTGCATGAGCTGATAAGCAAAGCATGCTGACTGGATTGAACGCGCGGCAGCACAGATGCGCAAGCTTATCAAGCAAATATCCCTTTCTTACAGACATCACTGGAAAGTTTGTAGCTCAGTTGGATATGTCAAAAGCAAGCAAGTAAAACAATGCACAAGTTATTAAAGTTACTTGATGGTTAGGAGAGAGAGAGTGAGGGAGAGAGAGAGAGAGAGCGCACTTCTGTTGCATGAACTTGACTGCTGTTCGCTTACTTAGCGCACACATTATTTGGATTCAAACTAAATCTTAAATTATAGGGGCATTCACTATAAACAACATTTATTTATTATAACGTCAAGCATATACAACTTTAAGCGAAAGTGAAACTAGCAGGCATCTCTTTCATTCTGCACCAATACAAATGTGTGCGCGCATTTCGCATATTTTGCTTGCTTGACCTTAATTTCATTATGAGTCGCATTGGAATATCGCTTTGGAGTCGCAGCATGTTTCAGATGATAAAAAAACGCAACTTATATTTCAGATAATATGTTCATAATATGTAATAATTATATAATACGTTCGTTGTACATATATAATATGAATATGTTCGCTGTTTTTATGTATGTATTATGTATAATGAGTGGTGCCCTGTATTATTGTGAAAAAACGTCTTGTGATTACAGTACTGAGCCACTGCAATGGAGCAGCTCTAATGTACACTGTGCTATTAAATTAAAGATGAAATCCTGTAGAGCAATAAAATGAACAGTGAAAGTAACAAAAGCTTGTACACATAAAAACTCCTATAGGGTCAGGGTGCTGATGACTTGCTTTATTTTGGTGCAGGAGCTTTCATTAGTGTGAGTGACTTTTGCTGTGCAAAAAACTCTATTTTATATCAATGCTTCTGAGATGCTGCAATACAACTGAATTGTCTCTCTTCCTGTCTTGCTGGATTTTAGATGCCTGCGCACACACATACACAGTTGGCTTTGGAGGATTTGTGCTTAGCCCCGCTGCAGACTCAAATTTGTGGTGAAGTGGAGGAAATGAAATGAAAGACGGATCTTGCTCTCAGACAAAAGAATGGAGGGATCTAAGAGCAATTATAGGAGCACACACACGCACACACATACACTCGGAGAGATCCAGCACAAGTCTCTCTCACATCCTCATGTTCAAATTTCATTAACATCTCCAGATGCACTCAAACCACAAACATCACTTACTCTGTGTACCTCTCATCTCTTTCCTCTATCAATTTTATTTGTTTTCAATTGACCCTTTGCAAGGAGTTTGATTGACAGGCGATCTGACCAATCATTTTGTCCGACAAACAAACCAGACAGGGGAATAGATTAACGTCAGTGGTCTTTGCGAAAGGTCAATTGCATACAATGAAAAATTGTCCAATTTGGAATAAAGAACTTGGAATAAATGAAAATTTGGAATTAATTCGCTTTAAATTAATTCGTTTTGGCTTGTTTAGCAACTTTTTTTTGTTCATTCTTGTTTTGTTCTGAATACAGTTAAATTTAAAGGAGGCCGGGCTAGAGTGAGCGGTGGCTGGGCTAGAGTGAGCAGCGGCCGGGCTAGAGTGAGCGGAGGCCGGCGGGCTTGAGTGCAAGCCACATGTGACGACCCTGGGCTGGACTCCACTTCGTCCACGGTGAAAGCCGATCCGGCGATCCACAGCGCGAAGTCAATGTATTTCCTCAGCGACCAGCACGGATCAGCTCCAGGCATGACGAAGCGGATATCGTCCTCTTTTGGAAGACCAAACAAAGTAGTTTCGCTTTCACAACACACAGCGTCTTCACGACATGGCGGCAGCAACAATACTACAGCGAGAATAACAGTTACGGCTTCTTTCTTTGCGTGAACATTTGGGCGGTGTTATGCAAATTTTCCCACATCGTGACGTAGACATGTGCATGGGAGCATGTTAGAACAAGCCATTTTAGGTAGGCGTGGTTTCCTCTTTTGATATAGCAAAATTCACATGCAATTTATGGAGTTTGCACATACTACCCAGGCTTTCTCACAAAATAAAAGCAAGCTCTGCCACTGCATTCATTGCTCTCTGTTTCTCACACATACACACATTTGCTCCCCGCTGCTGCCTACACTCAGGCATCTGTTACTCCATGTGGTGTACGTCAGTGATAAACGAGGCTTGGTTGAACCGACCCCCAGGGACCAATCCCCGCAGAGCGCTCACCTGTCGCCAGGTAACCATCACCGTGGCGAACCTGTCACCACACCAACCTATTGCTCGGGCAAAAACCTGTCACCATGGTAAAACTGTCACTGCTGGGGACTCATCCGTGACTAATCCACCATATCCTTTACTTTTCTGCTTCTCTCTGCCATGTTTGAATCTGAAATCATCTGTATGCATGTGTATCTGAAAACATCAATCTCGCTGTGTCTTCCTGCAGTGGTTTGTCCTATTATTGATTCATTTACTTACTTCGTATTTTGACTTTTAAATGTTTCTGTTTGTTTCTGCAGTCTGTTTAATCTGTTTAAATCAGGATTTACATGTGGGTTTGGGTGATACAGTATAACTGATAATTATCTTTATTTTTCGGTGATTTGGTGAAATTTAATGTATCTAAATATTTTAAAGATATTTTTGTTTTATCAGAGGAACCATTGTTTCAAACAAGCAGCTGTTGTAAATTTACATTTCAAAATTAAATGTAAAATATGAACATGAATCAACATTTAATCATAATTTTATTTTTAAAAAATCTAATTAATTAGATTTTTTTTGGGATAGTTCACTCAAAAATTAAAATTCTGTTATCATTTACCTTGTTATTCAAAACCTGTATGACTTTCTTTCTTTTTATTAATTTCTTAAGATATTTTACAGTTCAGTTAAAATTTTCAAATTAAAAATTAAAAATAATAATAATAATTTTGAAAATGAATTTTGAATGAATAAAAAAATTAATTTTCATGTATTAAAATGTTGACTTTTTTGAGTAATGACTGAAGTGAATCATTTTGAATAAATTCATTTAAAAATTTGAATTGCTTTGTTGAAATACAGTTTGACCTGATTAATTGGAATGAACTCAATATAATTTTTTAATGAAATTTGATTCAGAAATTGTATTAAAACTTCTGTTTTAACACTCAAGTCTTTCGAAGTGCTCTTGAGCTGCAAAATAAAGCAGGATTGTTATACTTGGTCTTAATACCCAAAAAAGCACATTAAAATCATTGCGATATTCACAGTGTTGCTTAGTTTAATATTGCAAGCAAAATCATGGTGAACATATTGTGAAAATTTGATGCATCACCCAACCCTGCTTCTCTGCATCATGTCATCTCCCACACTGTAGTTCTTTCTCTGTACTAACCTAATCCATCCACATTTCCAGCAGTAGTCTTTCACCCAGAAAGAGAGATGGGAAGGCTAACTGAGGACGGAAGCAAGCAAAAAAATGAAATAGACCTCAAGCCTAGAGGATCAATTTTTAATTTGGCCGATGCGAGCGAGTGTGTATGTGAGTGTTTGTGTGTTCGGCCACTCTGCTTTTATTGTAGGAAATTTGGCAGAGGCTCAATTGACTGACTTCTGCTCAGGGTCTCACCCTTCCATAAAGCAAGATGCTGCACATCCATTTTAGGTTACTTTTTAGAACATTCCATTGAAGACAAAGATAGCAGATGTTCAACAGCATTTCCAGAAAGCACATCACACATCGCCTATCATACGCAGAGGAACACGAGGAAATGAGAGCACTAGAACAAAGCAAGCGAGAGGAGAAGGGTCAGTGCTATCGCCTGCTGTTTGAGCCGAGCTGATGATAATATGATGGCTATTCTAATGTGTTCTGTGCTCTCATAATTGCCTCTTTTCTCTCAGTGCAGATTGAAAGCAATTCACCTCTAAAGCGGAGAGCAATAAACGCCATTTGAGTGGCCTCTCAGAAATCCTTGGAGAAGTACACACGTAAATGCACCCGCACACCTTCATTCGCACAATAAATAGCTGTGCTGAAGGCACAAAGCAACTTTCATTTCGACTTTGTGTGTGTGTTTGCCCGCGAATCTGCTCTCGCACCCTTGGTGTGCCACCATGCTGAGTGACACATGTTCTCCTGCCCAGCAGGTGATAGACGAAGAAAGAGAGCGTGGGGAGAGGAAGAAAAGAGAGGGATGGGAATGTCATATTAATGAACATTATGATTGGCCGCACCATTTTGGGGATGCAAATTGGAACCCCTCGCGTGTCTGTTCTTTTCTGTCTCTTTACCCAGAGTCGCCTCCCCAGTTAGTGCAGCAGCAGGTGATCTGGGGATGTCAGAATTCAGCGGGAGGTGAAGTGGTGACCTTTTAGTATTATAATTGATTTGAAAACAGTTTTTACAAACATGCTTCAGTTTGTTATATCAGCCTTATTTTCTGTGTGAATCCAAAACACATTCAGCATTGGTGGTTGCTTTAAAGAGATAGTTCACCCAAAAAAAGAAATTCTGTCATCAGTTACTCACCCTCATATCATACCAGACCTGTATTACTTTCTTTATTCTGTGGTACAAAAAATAAGATATTTTGAAAAATAGAACTTCATAGAGGTTAGGAATGACAGGAGGGTGAGTAAATGACCCCATTTTTTGGGTGGACTAGTCTGTAATGGGACCCTGACTTCCACTAAAATTATACTGCATCAAAAATGCAGTAATAGCATTTATCTATGCTAAATAATCTACATTACTGTAGATACAAAATTTTTTTTTTTCTTTTTAAGAAATTAATACTTTTATTCAGCAGGATCGTGTGACAGAGTAATTGCTGCAGAAAATTCAGCTTTGCCATCACAGGAATAAATTATATTTTAAAAATGTATTGAAATAGAGCACAGTTATTTTACATTGTTATGATGTTTCACAATATTTCTATTTTTACTGAATTTTTGATCAAATAAATTAATCTTTAGCGAGCATAAGAGATTTCTTAAAAAAACAAACAAACAAAAAACAACAAGCTTCTGAACGGTAGTGCTTGTTACATTTCACTCCTGGTGAATTTCCAAATAATTAATCTATCTGTCTATTATTTATTTGGAATTTTTGATCAAATAAATTAATCTTTAGCGAGCATAAGAGATTTCTTAAAAAAACAAACAAACAAAAAACAACAAGCTTCTGAACGGTAGTGCTTGTTACATTTCACTCCTGGTTAATTTCCAAATAATTAATCTATCTGTCTATTATTTATTTGTATTTTTTTATTTTTTTATTTTTCCATGACATGACAGGAGGATTGTTATACTTGGTCTTAATACCCAAAAAAGCACATTAAAATCATTGCGATATTCACAGTGTTGCTTAGTTTAATATTGCAAGCAAAATCATGGTGAACATATTGTGAAAATTTGATGCATCACCCAACCCTGCTTCTCTGCATCATGTCATCTCCCATACTGTAGTTCTTTCTCTGTACTAACCTAATCCATCCACATTTCCAGCAGTAGTCTTTCACCCAGAAAGAGAGATGGGAAGGCTAACTGAGGACGGAAGCAAGCAAAAAAATGAAATAGACCTCAAGCCTAGAGGATCAATTTTTAATTTGGCCGATGCGAGCGAGTGTGTATGTGAGTGTTTGTGTGTTCGGCCACTCTGCTTTTATTGTAGGAAATTTGGCAGAGGCTCAATTGACTGACTTCTGCTCAGGGTCTCACCCTTCCATAAAGCAAGATGCTGCACATCCATTTTAGGTTACTTTTTAGAACTTTCCATTGAAGACAAAGATAGCAGATGTTCAACAGCATTTCCAGAAAGCACATCACACATCGCCTATCATACGCAGAGGAACACGAGGAAATGAGAGCACTAGAACAAAGCAAGCGAGAGGAGAAGGGTCAGTGCTATCGCCTGCTGTTTGAGCCGAGCTGATGATAATATGATGGCTATTCTAATGTGTTCTGTGCTCTCATAATTGCCTCTTTTCTCTCAGTGCAGATTGAAAGCAATTCACCTCTAAAGCGGAGAGCAATAAACGCCATTTGAGTGGCCTCTCAGAAATCCTTGGAGAAGTACACACGTAAATGCACCCGCACACCTTCATTCGCACAATAAATAGCTGTGCTGAAGGCACAA